GGAATCAGTATTGAGTATCGAGTCTGTTCCTTAGTATCAAAACACGACCAATACTAGGGCTGGGTTAAGAAGTTGCTGATACGATACATACCTTGATACATAGGCCACGATACGATACATACCTCGATACATAGACCACGATATGATATATACCTTGATACATAAGCCACAGTACGAAACATACCTCGATACATAGGCCATGATACGATACATACCTCTATACATAGACCACGATATGATACATATCTTGATACATAGGCCACGATACGATACATACCTCGATACATAGGCTACAGTACGATACATACCTCGATACAGTGCACTTTCGATTCAATACGACATATTTCAAACTGATTCGATACGGATAATTTTTTTTTAAATGGCAAAATCATGGCTGTGATACTAAAAATCTTTGTTAAACCACTTCTTGTGCAAAGTTCATATGAAACACAAACATTTTAATCATCAAAAAAATTTCAAATATGTCACATAAATGAGTTTTCTTCCACTAAACAAGCAACAAAACTGTAACTCTGTGACAAAATAGTTTAGTAAAATAAACCAAAAAATACTCTTGGCGATATATCAGTACAGCAGTCCATGATATCAATACTCTATCATCACATTAAAGAATACGATATAGTGATATTTAGATATTTTTGCACACTCCTAACCAATACGGCATGTTTTTTTCCTATCTTAAACCGTTGTAATAACCTAGAGCTTGTTTAATTGCAGCCTTTACAGTTGTGAGCGGAGATCCAGAGGAGCCCCGAGGCACATTATCAGTTTAAGTGGAGCTGTTACTTCATTCAAACCTGTTTTAAAGTCTGAGGCGTGAAGAAAGAGCATAGCAAACATACCAGTCTCCTAGGACACGCTGGAGTTTCGTTTCACCGCACAGTGAGATCACGCCTAATTATTCACCGTGTTATTAAGTACTTCTCTTAAACTACTGACCTAAAACTGCTGACCTGGATTTGGGACTTGCTATATGATCCTAAATAAGGAGCCCAAGATCAAGACAAGGCGAGATTTTGATTTAAACTATAATAAAATTGTGGCGTTCGGTTCACAGTTTTGGCCTTTATGTTTTATATGTGTTTTTGTGTACTTTTGGGGTTATTTTTGCACTGCTTTTTGGAACTACGGCTTCTCAAAACATCAACTCACCAGCGTTTGACCTTTTTTGTCCAATCCAAATGTAAACGCATGAGAGAAAAAAAGTCTCACGAGATCATTTTCCTCTTGTGTGCACGATCTTGTGTCAAAATATAACAATGAAAACGAAACTAAAAAAACTATTTAAGTGGTTTGCAGATGACAGTTGTGGTTAGATGTGATGTTATCAGCATCTTGGCGCTCCCAGTTTCAGTATTAAGGAATAGACTTGATACCTGGAGATAATAAAATAAAGTACTCTTTATTTAGACAATAGAATGTGATTTTCAACATTAAATCATAGAACTTTCTAGGGCTGAATGATCAGTTGTTTTGGACCGAAAATCGCGATCTCAGACAACACGATTTTGGGAGCGTTAAAGCCCCGTTTTTTTGAAGTGCCCCTAAAGCCGAATTTATGGATTAATGGATCTGTGTTGAGGTCTGTGCGCCGTGAAGTAATCCACCGCCACAATGTGAGGAGGCGAGGATTTAAACCTGGTGTTTAAAGCTTAACATGAACCATCTCCAACGTGATAGAAGGCAGGGTTGGGCGGTATCCAAATTCTGATACCATTAAACCTTCTCAGGATTTTACCGGGATATACGATATTACCATATTACCAAAATGTTTTAATACAACCACACCGCTATACGGTCTCTGCATACGACCTGCAGATTTATAATCTCTGAAAAGTTTCACACGAACCTTGTCCAACGCGATACACGCACAGAACAGACTCACCATCAGCAGAACACCCCTCTGTCATAGAAAGAACACTCATATTCCACTGAGTCGTGTCCTTTAGTCCGACAGAAGATGAACCGCATCCGTGCACAAGGAGCAAGCTGTTTTTATCAGTGATGTACATTTTATGCAAATGAGCCATGTGGTTTTAAATTTCGTTTCTGTAAAAAGTAAACAAATGTGCACCTGAAGCCAAAATGCCGCCAAATTGCAAAATTACTAGTATTTTTTGTGGGGGAGGATCAACTCGCTTGCAGCTGGACTTGCCGTCTTGTCTTGGTCTCCCTTATGAGCGTCACGTGACAACAAAACAAAACTAATCGAACGTTGTCTCCCCGCGCTGTTAAAAGAAACATTATAGACACTATTAGTTTTAAATTGTGATAACATTATATTGAAAATTCAACCACACACAAATTTAGATATCAGTAAATTATAATATTATATTAGGTCCTTATGCTTTGCAGAATTTTTTAAATGACCTTAAGGAAACTGATACCTTTGATACTGCGGGATACTGAAATACCGTGTTCCCGCCCAAGCCTAAAAGAAGCACAGAACAGACTCATCATCAGCAGCACATTCACTCATATTCCACTGAGTCATGTCTTTTAGTCCGACAGAAGCTGAATCAGAGAACAAGGAGAGAGCTGTTTTTTCCACTGCTTATAGTTTATGCAAATTAGTCATGTGGTTTTAAGTTTCATTTCTGTAAAACATAAATAAATGTGCACAAAGCTGCATTAAACACATTATTACTCAGTGTATATTGTAAGAAAGGAAAGCGGAGTACAGGGAATGTCTGTAATGTGGTGGTGGAGAGGACCAATAACAGCCCTTATTGTCTTCCCCTGCTGTCTGCGTCGTTTTTACACGTAGTTAGAAAATTTCTGAGGTGCACGTCGTTCGATGCAGACCCTCTGCACCGTGAGGCAGACGATTTGGACAATAAACTGGGCTTTATGGTCCATGGTTCTATGACTGGCACCAGGAAAGTCATGGGGCAATTGCACTTTTTTTTGTTTAGAGGGCAGTAAGGATATTTTTAGTTTACTTACAAGTCTTGATATTTGCACTTTTGTAGCTACGGCCCAAAATGAAACATTTTTTATGTCCAAAAAGTTGTTTATACATTACATACATTTGCTGTGTGTTTGTATAAATGAGTGTGAATTTAGTTTTCTGGTCCTGTAGCTTTTATTACAGCCATGTGACACAACTACAGTGTGCAGATTGTGAAATAACAGGTTGTACTGAAAAAAAAAGGATGTATAACACTTCATTAGGGGGTAAAAGAGGGAGTTTTAACGCAAAATTAAGAAAAAAAATCATGGTGAGGAGGACAAATGTACGATAAAATTGCTCGTATGTCTGGAAAGGTTAAACATGTGAATGAAACAAAACTCCAGGTCTGTTTGTGAAGAGAAAACATCATAACAGAGATCACAGAAGAGTGTAATACGAATCTTTTAAACTAACCTTGTGACTTTGCGCCTGCAGCGGCTCTCATGGCCTTGAAGAGGAAAAAACGCCTAGAGAAACAGCTGGAGCAGATCGACGGGACGCTCTCTACCATCGAGTTCCAGAGGGAGGCGCTAGAGAACGCCAACACCAACACAGAGGTGCTCAAGAACATGGGCTTTGCTGCCAAGGCCCTCAAACAGGCCCACAACAGCATGTGAGTGACCAAATAATAAATTTTTTTTTATCTTATTTCAGTCCATTAACTGATATTTATTGAAGATATTGTCCAGGGGTTACACAATTAGCAATTTTGGTTGACATATTTTGTCAAATCACAAAAGCTGCAATAATTTAGATCATATCATCATAAAATATCTTGTGTTTTTATAGAAGAATCTTGTTGTACTTGTAGTTTAAACCTCTATAAACAGGTTCTGAAATGGTCCGATAAGGTTCATTTGGTCTTCCGATATTTTATGTTATTAGATTCTTTTTCCAGACCAAGAGTTTGTTTTCATACCTGACAGTTTCGACTGCTCCCTGCGCTCTTCCTCAGAGTCACGTGATGTTGCTGTGACGTGTCAATCAGGTGATTTAAACAGGTTTTGGCGCTGTCTTCCTACCGGTGGAGGCAGGACGACAGCGCCACCTGCAGTCCGACTTCCTCAGGACAGGTATCCCAGGTGTGTGAGAGTAAAAACACCCCCTAGAACAGAATGCATGAAGGAAACCGTGAAGGTGAAACACGAGCAACAAAACACAAAGCAGAAGAGAGACAGCTTAACCACCTACCATCCACCCGCCCGCCGGCGGGCGATTTTCCAATAAAAAATGTTCACTCTGTATATTCACCTTCATTATTGTTTTCACTACTGGCATGCCATACATCGTTTGAAAGCTTAATTTGTCAATAAAACAACCATATCATTCATTTTATGCCGTACAACGAGCCTAAAACGCTATAACTTAAAAATTCACATCATAAACAAAGAATAAGATACGCGTTTCTTACCTTTGAGCCGGTTCTGTCGGTCCAAAACGCGTTCAATCCATGAAAAGTTGTACTCAATAAATCCGTAATAATCCACAGAAAAAGAATATCAAGTTGTTTTTCCAAAAAATAATTCCATGTGGGGGAATAATCCAGAAAATCGGCGTCCGTATGAGTGGATGAATCCGTGAATGAAAATATTATGTCTCTTCTCCGCCTCTTCTCCCGCTCTCACTTCCCTTTCTCTCCCGCTCTTGGGTACGCTTGTTTTCCTCACACTCTTAGCTTCAAAATGAGACCCTCCCCGCTGTTGTCGGTGCCGGGGTTTAGGTGGGACAAGCCGCTGAAGAAGCTAACGCACTCACGTACTTCCTGGCTTTACGCACGCGTCATCAGTTTGTTTACGGGAAATCTCTTCAGTCATTGGATCTTCCAGAAAGTGATTGACATATTGTTTTAGCCTATCACCAGAGCTTTCAAACGGTGGGTGAGACATGCAGATTGTATTGGAAACGGACCCTGTGTTTATAAGTGTAAGAGCGAGGGAGACAGGGAGCAGTGCGAGCGGTGCCATATTGGGCAGATCTTTCAGTTGGAGGACAATTTTGGCTACTTTTAGTTTTTTTTTCTTGAGAAAACATGCCTAAAGCTCAGAAGAATTAGTATTATAATAATAACAATTATTATTATTACTATATTATTATTATTATTTTGGCACAAATTTGGCAATCTTGTGCCGAATTGTCATTTTGTATACACAAAGGCTCACAGCATCAAAACCCTTTGTCCTAGAGATCTGAAATTCTACACAGTTGTTGCCAACAACTTGAACAATGAGTGTAGTGAGTCACAAATGCCTAGCATGAAGTATGCCCAAGCTAAGGCCTTTATTTTTTTCTTTTTTTTTTTCGAAGCAAAAAAAATTTTTTTTTTTTCAATTTTAATTGACTGTACTGTAGGTTAGGCAGCACTCACAGTCTTCATGTACATATCTACTGAAACTAGAAGGCCTAAGCTTTAAAATGGTGCCTCACACAAGCATGTGGGTTCTAAGGTTTTCTTTTAATAAGCTATGGCATTTGGGTATGTCTTACCATTGTGCACACACCAAAATGAGGCGGGTGGCAACAGGTTAAATCGGCCGTTTCTGACGACTGTAAAAGAGAAAACGAAGCAAACGTCACTGGGACAGAGAAAAACAAACACCGTCGCTGGATTTAAGAGGCAATCGAAATACAGAAACATGCTCACAGGACTATAAACCGGGACGAGGGGGCTTTTTTTTACTCTCACACACCTGGGATATTGTCCTGAGGAAGTCGGACTGCAGATGGCGCTGCCTCCATCGGTAGGAAAACCGCGCCAAAACCTGTTTAAATCAGCCGAGCGACACGTCACAACAACATCACGTGACTCTGAGGAAGGCCGAAACTGTCAGGTATGAAAACAAACTATTGATTTGAAAAAAGAACCTAATAACATATGTCCTGAAATGGGATTCTTGTGTCCGTTATCTGGTCATATTTCAGTCAGAGTTCAGACTTTGGAGAAAGAAAAGAAAGAAATTTTATTGTGTTAAAGGCAGTTGGTAAGTAACTGAACACATGTACTTAAATTCTTTATTCTTAATTCTACTTTTGAGTACCTGCCTCCCTGTACAGTTACTTTTTCACTTAGTGGTGTTCAAATTTTCCTTCTACTTAGACATAAATGAATGTGTAACAAACGGTGCATCAAAAAAAGTTACACAGTGCTCCTTTAACGTTGCGGTTTGTGTTTGTTTCACAGGAACGTAGACGATGTTCACGATTTAATGGACGACATCGCAGAACAACAGGAGCTGGCCAACGAGATCTCCACGGCCATCTCCTCCTCCACAGGATTCGGCATGGACATGGACGAGGTGAGACCGGGTTTAGACCGGGTTTAGACCGGGTTTAGACCGAGTTTAGTCCTGGTTTAGTCCTGGTTTAATGGTGGTTTGGTCCTCTGTGTAGTCTTGGTTTAGTCCTGGTTGCGTGCTAGTTGCATGCTGGTTGCGAGCTGGTTTAGCCCTGGTTTAGTCCTGGTTTGGTCCCTGGTTTGGTCCAAGGTTTAGCCCTGGTTTAGCCCTGGTTTGGTTCTTGGTTTGGTTGTGATTTGATCCTCAGTTTGGTCCTGGTTAGTCCTGGTTTAGACATGGTTTAGTGTTGGTTTAGCGCTGGTTTGGTGCTGGTTTAGTGCTCGCTTGGTCCTTGGTTTAGTCTTGGTTTAGTCCTGGATTAACCCTGGTTTATTCCTGGTTTTGCCCTGGTTCAGTCCTGATTTGTCCTCGGTTCGGTCCTCGGTTCGGTCCTCGGTTTAATCTTAGTTTAGTCTTGGTTTAGTGCTGGTTTGGTTTTTGGTTCGATCCTTGGCTTGGTAATGGTTTAGTCCTGGTTTATTCTTGGTTTAGTCCTGGTTTAGTGCTGGTTTAGTGCTGGTTTGGTCGTTGGTTTGGTCCATGGTTTAGTCTTGGTTTAGTTTTGATTTACCCCTGGATTAGCGCTGGTTTAGTCTTTGGTTTGATCCTTGGTTTAGCCCTGGTTTAGTGCTGGTTTTGTCCTTCGTTTAGTCTTGGTTTAGTCCTGGTTTAGACATATTTAGACCTGGTTTTCTTCCTGAGCTCAGAGAAAGTTACAACCAAACTAAGGAACTATCTCCACGGAGACAGATTTTATGCCATACTGTGGAATATTGTAGCCAAAGGAGCAACAAGGAAACCAGCAGCAGAAGGCCAGTTTGCCAGTTCATATTTATTTTTTACCAAATCTCTGAACTTTTTACGGAATCCTATAATCGAATCTCAGTGCTTGTCAGAGAAATTGCATCTGTTGCCCCACAAGTGCCCGTACTTTCAGAATTTGTGTGACCCATTTCAGAACAAATGTGCTGAAAATCTTCTTTGTTAACTCCGTTCCAGGATGAGTTATTGGCTGAACTGGAGGAGCTGGAGCAGGAAGAACTGGACGAGAAAATGCTCAGCGTGGAGGGAACCGGAAAAATGGACCCCCTCCCCAGTGTGCCCACCACCTCACTGCCTTCAGGTGAACCACGCACACACACAACTCCAGACTCGGCGCTAAAAAAGAGAAGGCTAAACCTGTCTAAGTCCCGCTCTAGGTCCCGCTCTAGGTCCCGCTCTAAGTCCCGCTCTAAGTCCCGCTCTAAGTCCCGCTCTAAGTCCCGCTCTAAGTCCCGCTCTAAGTCCCGCTCTAAGTCCCGCTCTAAGTCCCGCTCTAGGTCCCGCTCTAAGGTCCCGCTCTAAGTCCCGCTCTAAGTCCCGCTCTCTAAGTCCCGCTCTAAGTCCCGCTCTAAGTCCCGCTCTAAGTCCCGCTCTAGTCCCGCTCTAGGTCCCGCTCTCTGTCCCGCTCTCTGTCCCGCTCTCGGTCCGCTCTCGGTCCCGCTCTCTCTCGGTCCCGCTCTCGGTCCCGCTCTAAGTCCCGCTCTAGGTCCCGCTCTAGGTCCCGCTCTAGTCCCGCTCCAGGTCCCGCTCCAGGTCCCGCTCCAGGTCCCGCTCAGGTCCCGCTCTAGGTCCCGCTCTAGGTCCCGCTCTAGGTCCCGCTCTAGGTCCCGCTCTCGGTCCCCTCTCGGGTCCCGCTCTCGGTCCCGCTCTAAGGTCCCGCTCCAGGTCCCGCTCTCGGTCCCGCTCCAGGTCCGCTCCAGGTCCCGCTCTAGGTCCCGCTCTAGGTCCCGCTCTAAGTCCCGCTCTAAAGTCCCGCTCTAGGTCCCGCTCTAGTCCCGCTCTAAGTCCCGCTCTAGGTCACGCTCTAGGTCCGCTCTAGGTCCCGCTCTAGGTCCCGCTCTAGGTCCCGCTCTAGGTCCCGCTCTAGGTCCCGCTCTAAGTCCCGCTCTAAGTCCCGCTCTAGGTCCCGCTCTCGGTCCCGCTCTCGGTCCCGCTCTCGGTCCCGCTCTCGGTCCGCTCTCGGTCCCGCTCCAGGTCCCGCTCTAGTCCCGCTCCAGGTCCCGCTCCAGGTCCCGCTCCAGGTCCCGCTCTAGGTCCCGCTCTAGGTCCCGCTCTAAAGTCCCGCTCCCGCTCTAGGTCCCGCTCTAGGTCCCGCTCTAGGTCCCGCTCTCGTCCCGCTCTCGGTCCCGCTCCCGCTCTAAGTCCCGCTCTAGGTCCCGATCCAGGTCCCGCTCTAAGTCCCGCTCTAGTCCCGCTCCAGGTCCCGCTCTAGTCCCGCTCTAGGTCCGCTCTTGGTCCCGCTCTAGGTCCCGCTCCAGGTCCCGCTCTAGGTCCCGCTCTAAGTCCCGCTCTAAGTCCCGCTCTAAGTCCCGCTCTCGGTCCCGCTCTCGGTCCCGCTCTCGGTCCCGCTCTCGGTCCCGCTCTCGGTCCCGCTCTAGGTCCCGCTCTCGGTCCCGCTCTAGGTCCCGCTCTCGGTCCCGCTCTCGGTCCCGCTCTCGGTCCCGCTCTCGGTCCCGCTCTCGGCTCCTCCGCTCTCGGTCTCGGTCTCGCTCTCGGTCCCGCTCTCGTCCCGCTCTCGGTCCCGCTCTCGGTCCCGCTCTCGGTCCCGCTCTCGGGTCCCGCTCTAGGTCCCGCTCTAGGTCCCGCTCTAAGTCCCGCTCTAGGTCCCGCTCTAGGTCCCGCTCTAGTCCCGCTCTCGGTCCCGCTCTAAGTCCCGCTCTAGGTCCCGCTCTAAGTCCCGCTCTAGGTCCCGCTCTAGGTCCCGCTCTCGGTCCCGCTCTAGTCCCGCTCTCTAGGTCCCGCTCTAGGTCCCGCTCTAGGTCCCGCTCTAGGTCCCGCTCTCGGTCCCGCTCTAAGTCCCGCTCTAGGTCCCGCTCTAAGTCCCGCTCTAGGTCCCGCTCTAGGTCCCGCTCTCGGTCCCGCTCTCTCTCCGGTCCCGCTCTAGTCCCGCTCTAGGTCCCGCTCTAGGTCCCGCTCTAGGTCCCGCTCTAGTCCCGCTCTAGGTCCCGCTCTAAGTCCCGCTCTAAGTCCCGCTCTAGGTCCCGCTCTAGGTCCCGCTCTAGGTCCCGCTCTCGGTCCCGCTCTCGGTCCCGCTCTAAGTCCCGCTCTAGGTCCCCTCTCCCGGTCCGCTCTAGGTCCCGCTCTAGGTCCCGCTCTCGCTCCGCTCTCGGTCCCGCTCTAAGTCCCGCTCTAGTCCCGCTCTAGTCCCGCTCTAGGTCCCGCTCTCGGTCCCGCTCTCGGTCCCGCTCTCGGTCCCGCTCTAGGTCCCGCTCTAGGTCCCGCTCTCAGGTCCCGCTCTCCCGCTCCGGTCCCGCTCCCGGTCCCGCTCTCGGTCCCGCTCCCGGTCCCGCTCTCGGTCCGCTCTCGGTCCCGCTCTCGGTCCCGCTCTCGGTCCCGCTCTCGGTCCCGCTCTCGGTCCCGCTCTCGGTCCCGCTCTCGGTCCCGGACCTAATTTAGTCCTGGTTTAGTTCCATTTTTTTTCCATTATTCATTTAAACACAAAATCGAAAACTGAAAAAACAAATCATTATCCGTTTTTTCATTTAGTTTTTTTTTGGATACAAATAATGAAGAAAAGAGTTGTTTTTTTTCGTTTTCTTATTTTTGGTTTTATCTTGAAAAGCAAATGAACGAATGATACACAGAGTATTATAAAATGTCTCACAGTTCACAAGAGTCAGTTTTGTGTAATGTTGAACCTTTAAAACCAAAATAAAACTGTGCATTGTCTTTAATCATTCCCCTGTGTCTTCTCTCTCCTCTCCAGCCAAGGCCTGGTCTGGTTCCGCTCTTAGTCCTGCTCTTAGTCCCGCTCTAGTTCCCGCTCTAGGTCCCGCTCTAGGTCCCGGTCTCGGTCCGGTCTGGTTCCTGCTCTCGGCCCGGTCTGGTTCCTGCTCTCGGTCCCGCTCTCGATCCCGCTCTCGGTCCGGCTCTCGATCCCGCTCTCTCTGGGTCCCGCTCTCGGTCCCGGTCTGGTTCCTGCTCTCGGTCCGGTCTGGGTCCCGCTCTCGGTCCCGCTCTCGGTCCCGCTCTCGGTCCCGCTCTCGGTCCCGCTCTCGATCCCGCTCTCGGTCCGGTCTGGGTCCCGATCTCGGTCCCGATCTCGGCCCCGATCTCGGTCCCGATCTCGGTCCCGATCTCGGCCTCTGTCTCTGTCCCGGTTTGGTTCCTGTCTGGTCCCGGACCTGATTTAGTCCTGGTTTAGTTCCGTTTTTTTTCCATTTTTCATATAAACACAAAATCGAAAACTGAAAAAAAACAAATCGTTATCTGTTTTTTCATTTTAGTTTTGGAGACAAATAATGAAGAAAATTATTGTTTTTTCTTATTTTTGGTTTTATATTGAAAAACAAATAAACGAATGACACACAGATTTTTATAACATGTCTCACAGCTCACAAGAGTCAGTTTTGTGTATTGTTGAACCTTTAAAACCAAAATAAAACTGTGCGTTGTCTTTAATCATTCCTGTGTTTTCTCTCTCCTCTCCAGCCAAGAAGAAGGAGGAAGAGGACGACGAGATGGCGGAGCTGGCTGCCTGGGCGAACTAAACCGCACCACCTCCTCCGGCCTTCTCCACCTTCCAAAAAAAATAAAAACGACAACAACAAAAGTCTCTGGAAGTGGATTCCGCTGCTCAAGAACCACACAGAGGAACCACAAACAGAGGAACCGACACCAGACTGGACGAAGTATGCACCTAACGTCCGATCGATCTCAAAGACTCATCCCCGCATCTCCTTCGACCCGGTCTCACTGCTGCTCACACTCGAAACTCAAAAAAAGGAATAAAAGCTACACCTCACCTCGACTTATGTGCATATTTCGGACAGTTCGGTTTTGAGAAAAGCTAACCGAGCGAAATGTACGGATTGGAAAAAAAAACTACAGATTGCGGCAGTCATTTTCTGCTTCCCGCGTGTGTCTTCTACGAAAAAAAAAAAACGTGACGTGGTTTTTGAAAGATCTTGTGTAACAGCGAAACTTTATAAATAATAAACAGCTTCTCTGATGCGTCGCAATGTATTTGGTAACAAAAGAGGTCACGTTAAAGGCGCACTACGGAGCTTTTCCAGCGCAGTCGGCGTCGCTTTTGTCGTAACGATCTTGCCTTTTTATTCAGAATACCTTGAAAAAATACAAAACATGCATTCTTTCTTACTTACTTACTTACTGTGAGCGGGGTCGCCTCTCCGCAGATCTGACCTGTAATCGGGTCCGGTCGGATACGTTTATTGTCGGGAATGTTACGTAGTGAATCTTTAAAGTGGCCCGATTCGGAGGAGCGGAAAACAAAAACGACGAAATTTCAGCGTGTTCCAGAGAAGAAGAATTAAGATTTTGTTAGATTTTTCGATGTTTTGACGTTTATGCAACCCCAAAATTATTTCTCAAAGCGCTTCTACGTGAGAAATTTCTTCTTCGGATCGCACCGATTGTACTTTTAGGAGCCGTAGTCGTCGTCGTAGTTACCGTGTACATGTACTACAACTCCGCGTACGGTAACTTTTCGCTCTGATTTCTGCTTTTCCAAATCGGTAACGCGTTGACAACCACATCTTGGAGTGTACATAGTTTTTTACTTGTTTAAAAGTTATTACTAAATCGTCAAAAAAACGTTAACAAGGATTAGTCACTACAATGGCGCCATCTAGTGGTAGTGCGGTATAGTTAAAAATACAAAAAAACGATGTAAAAATGTTTCAATTTTGTACACCAATTGTAACTTGTCTTAAATTAGCTGATATATACCGGCGTTTTTGGATTCATAATTAATTAAAATCATGAATATTTAGTCCATTTTATGACAGATTTACACTGAAAAACGATTGAAAATGATTGAGGTCGCCACTACAGCCTTGAAAAACGAGATTTCACATCCCCCTCGTGCAACAATCTCACGCACAGGCTCGTGTTAAGTTTCACACTCGTCTAACACACGATATTTATTAATGTGACAGTTGTTACCAAATAGATTGTAAAGTAAGAGAAGGTTCGTGGAGTTTTGGGAGGTTGCGTGAAACTGAATGAGTGACATTTTCAGCCTTTTGGACACTGAGACCTCGGTTCAACATGTAGTCCACTTTTTACTTTGAATCTTCTGACTGTAGCATCAAGACCAATAGGATTTACACACACATATGTTATGCTGGTTTATGAGAAAATAAATAAAACTTGTGCTACAA